TCATCTTAGCTGTAGAGGACGCAGCATCACTGGCCCTCATGTGGGATCCAAACAGGGGCCCTGCTGCTCAGAGCTGGCATCCCAAGCCAACTCTTTAACCAATGCACCACTCAGTCAGTCCTATTTATACTTATTTTTAAGTATGATTGGTATACTTGAGCAAAAATGAAGTAAAACTATTCTATATTCACAATCCAATAATCACAAGGTATTTTGTTACCAAACACAAAAATATCCACACTAAACATATAAAATGCCTAGAAATAATCTTATTAAGAAGGGTGTAGAAACTATTTTAGCTGAAAAACATAAAAGATCTGAATGGAGAAAACTACATACCCAAATGGAAAAACCAATTCTATTTTTTTTTAAATATCAGTTCCACCAAACTTAATGCCATTAGATTTAAATCCCACTGGGACTAATCACAAAATAATTCTAAAGTTCAGATGGAAGAGCAGATGTGTGAAAAAAATTAGTACAACTTAGGAAAAAAATAATGATAGTGACCTAGACCCTAAAACATAGCACAAAGCTATTATAATTAAAAATATGTGGTACTGTGATAATATCAATGGACCACAATGGAGTCTAGAAGCAGACTATGTAAATTTGTGAATTTAATATAATAAATGTGGCATCTCAATTCAATGTGGTGGGGAGAAGACAAATAAAATGCTTAGGACAACTGATAATTTAAATGCAGAAAGAAAAGTTTGATTCTTCTTACGCCATAGGCAAAATATATTCCACACAGATTAAAATCAAATGTGAAAAAAGTTATCAGGAAGAAAACAAACTATTCCCCTACATTATTTCAAGGTACAGAAAGCCTAAGTAAGACTTGAAACCAAAAGCCAAAAAAGGTAAAAATTAACTACATAGATTAAAAGCTTCTATGCAGAAGACAATTACAAACTGGAAAAAATATTTATAATAGGTAAAATAGATAAAAGATTAATATCTGTGATCTATTAACTTTCAAAAATGAATAAGATAAAGAAAACAATTCAATAGAAAAATCAGGCAAGGTAATGAACAATTCACAAAAGAAGTACTGAATAGCCAATAAACAAGTGAA